GGGGGGGGGGGCGAACATTGCCAACGGCTGAATGGGTATAACGTGGACTTCATAGTCGGTTTAATGAAACGGCATTATGCAACGGAACTACGCGAAAACGGGTACAAGGCTCGTGACGCTGTTCATCCTCGTAGGCAGGCGGTGTGTGGTGACCAAATATGCAATCGCCAAGGATCGTCCACGCTCGCCTCTCGATTTTAGTTCATTCGATGATTAAGATAGATCCTTGAGCGAAAATCGAATTCGTAAATTTAACTTCATCGAAAATAAGATATTGTAGCGAGGTGTAAATTGTTCCTTCTCGACGAAAGGGAAGTAACAATTAATAATAGTAATGTAGTTTATTTTTTTTTTTTAGAAAGAAATTATCCTCAAGATCGTTGTTTAACAGATTCTCGTTAACGAGGCTATTGTTTTAGTCGTAAATCTCGAGCTTTCGTAACGGCAACGCGAACGGCATACATATCGATGACTGAAAAGACGGATATAGCCGTCTTACGCGACAGAAGTCACCGGTGACTTCAACGCCTGGTATGAAACCCTGCCCATTACGTGGGCAGCGTTTCAGCGTACTCTTCCTCCTCCTATGTCCAATGAGCCTAGCGATTAGCGTGGAAGAATGAAGCGCGAAGAGTTCGAAACAAACGCGTTCGTAAAACGTACGATTCGTACGAGAAAAGGGATATTGATCATTTCATGAAAAATATTTTTTTTTTTTCTTTTTCCTCCAGATGCGAGTAACGAAAATTTTCCCATCCTATCCAACGGAGGTAAGGGGGAGGGAGGGATAAATTTTTTATAAGCGACAGAAGAGAAGAGAAAGTGAAAGGTGGTGTAAAAGTGGCGTACGGCCCTGGTGGGCTCCCAAGTGCATCGATTCACGAGGCACGAGCCTGGCCGCGGTTAGAAAAGGTGGAAAGAAAAGGTGGCAGAACCTCGCGGGATGTCGATCGACCAGCGTGCCCGTAATAAAATCCCGCGATTCGTCTGGTCGCGAGCTCGTGTGCAATCGAAAATCGGAAGGGAAACGAAGTGGTGGAAAGTCGAAAATGGCGTGGAGGGCTCGGTTCGATCGAGCACGGTGGTCCAGTTCGGTGTTGCTCGAGGTCGTTCCTGTTCCGTGCACCGGCCTCTCCTCCTGCTCGAAAAAGTGAACGTTGCGTTATGTTCGGCCACCTTCGCGAAACACGGCATCGCTTTCTCGGCACAGCTCTACTAACCACCTCGAAAACGTTTTCCTTTCTTTCTCTCTCTCTCTCTCCCTTCGAAAAAATCAAACCCAATTTTTCCCTTTTTCTCTTCCTCCTCGTCTCGCCTCGAATTTGATTCGCGATGCCGAGAGATCGAGGCAAATTTCCCGCCGTTTTCTCACCAATTTTCCATCCTTTTAATCGCGTTATCCGAGATCGATCTCGTTCAATTTTGCCAATTTCTATTATTATTACGCGTGAGCGGAGAAGAGATTTTTCGGATTGTATTGTGGTGCGCGATAAAGACAGATATAATCGATAGGATGGGAGAGTAAAGATAGATGAAGTAGAGAGACACACACGAAGCGAGGAATACATATATATATATATTAATATCGAGTGAATGTATCGATCGAAAAACGATAGACGTGGATAATTCGTGCGATTTTTTTCTCGTAGCAAGTGTTTTTTTTTTTTTGCACGGTCGATCGTATTCATGGGAGTTCGACCCAGTTATTAATAAAGACTTTCTCTTTTATTTTAGCCATGGACTGGCGGGGAGTCGCATTGGCATTTTTATCGGTAAGTAAAGAATCCATCCTTCGTTATATATAAATGACACTATGCACGTGCTTTCTCATGCTTAATAAAATCGTAATTTTATTCCTCTCTCTTTCTCTATTTATCTATCTATCTGTCTCTTCTCACCACTCGAATCAAATTTATTCCTTGAACGTGCAACACGAAATACACGAGTATATAAGTGCGACCAATGCCACGCTACGAAATTCCCCTGCAACCTTTGATCAATCTCTCGCCGCTAACTCGTGAAATCAGCTGATTTTCAAACTCGATCCTTCGATCCAACCTACACATTTCCGATTTTCATTTTGATTATCTGTAATGTCGCTTTAACTTAACTCTTTCTCCCAACGAATTGTACGGAAAATAAACTCGACTGGGGAGGGGAGGGAAGTACGTTGAGCAGGAATGCGGGGAATTATGTAATCCTTTGTTGGTACGACGTAAGTTGCTAGGAAAATCGTGTCGAGATGGCTGCAATATATATTTTTTTTTTTTTTTACGCTCTGCAATTTTTCATCTCGACGTTAATTTCAAAATAAGAATTCGTAGAATTCTCTTTGAATTAATATTAACAGTTCGAATGGATATTTGAATTATTTTTTGATTATTTGCAATTCGTGAAAGTTGGGCTGCGATGAATCATTTTCACGAAATATAAAAACCGTGAATATTTGGCATCGATTGCTTTGATATAGTTTTTTCCCTTTTTTTCCTTTTCTTTTCTTTTCATTCTCGTTGTCATTCTCGTTCAAGCTCGTGTTTAACAAGCGTTGCAAACTTTCATATTGCTCCGCGAGCTCGAAATGAAGACTGCACGAGGTAATTCGAGTGGATGCTCGTTCTTTTTTATGGTAATCATAGTAAACAACGCCTCGTAAAAAACGAAGCGATGTCTCTCTTGACAAAGACCGGCGGGTTTGATGTCGTTAACCCATTCAGGAGGTTGGAATCATAGGCCTGTGCAACGCTTAATAATCGACAACCACGCTGAAATCTCACGATTATACCGATTATTATACCGACCGCGGGCAATTCTTACAAGTGGGCGTTTTTCAAGTTCTTCCGGCTTTTAAATAACTTTTAAAAACGGTTTGCAAACGAGACATTTTCTTTTTTTTTTTTTTTTTCTTTCTCCCCTCCCATTTCGAAACAACTCGCCAACTCTCGAGAGCTAATATGTGTACACGCATATATAAACAACATAACTATAAAGTCCCGATCCGAATAAAAATTGCAAGTTTGCGAGAAGAAAGCGTTTCGCGAGCAAAAGTAAATAACGACCTTCGAAAAAATATTGAATTTTCATTTGAACGTTTGCACGCGCAAACGTTTCTTTAAAAAAAGA